CTTTCCAAGACAAATCTGTTTGTTTTCCTAGTAGTCCATGGTATTCTCAATACTCTTCTCCAGCACCACAGCTCAAAGGCGTCAATTCTCCTTCTATCCTCCGTAGTCATTGTCCAACTCTCTGATGCATAACAAGTGATTACGAAGGCCATAGCCTGTATCAGACGCACCTTAGTCTCCAGAGAGACACCATTGCTCTTCAGTCTCTCCTCAACATAGTGAAAAGTAAATGTGCAAAACCAAGAACCAATATCACTCTCAATGGGAAAAGACTAAAAGCATTCTCCTTCCAAACAGGGACAAGATAGGGATGCCCGCTGTAACCACTCTTATTCAATATTGTATTGAAAGCACTTGCTAAGGCAATATGACAAGAAAAAGAAATAAAAGGCATTCATATCAGCAAAGAGGTGATTAAATTGTCACTACATAGCACTGGTCACTACATAGCATTTGCTGTACAGAGGTAACTCATGGTTGCTGTGATGCTGAACACTGTGACACTGATGCATCAAATGTGATAATGGTGACCCATGATGGACAGTGTTTGGTGGAGCTCTCCAACTAAAACAAGCTTGGAAGCAGGAGTGGCATCCACTTCCAAAATAGCTTGCCTCCAGAAACTCTTTAAACTTGGAGAAATGATGAAAGTTATACAATTGTTCAGGTCTTCCATTCAGAGGGCTGCAATGAGTCGTCTATGACTCAACGGCACTTAACGACAAAAAGAATATATGCCAATGATATGATTATGTACACAGAAAACCCCATTGACTAAAAAAAAATAAATTGTTAGAGCTAGTGGACCAACTTAGTAGAGTTGCAGGATATAAGATCAATATCTAAGTCAGTGAGATTCCTCTACAGTAACGAAGAAAACCAAGAAAGCAATATCATTTATAATAGCCAACCACAAACTTAGGAATAAACCTAACTAGAGACACAAAAGACCTTTACAAAGAAAACTATAAAACAATAAAAGACCTAAGTAAATGGATTTTTTGTGAAGAAACGAAGACTGAGCGGTTGCGGCCGCGTTGCCGACCTCGAGCAATAGTCGGCTTCTTCGTATAGAATACGGGAGTAGGAGGTTCATTGTCGAATCTCTTCTCCTTTTTTCCCCTTCTGTGAGATTTTTTTTATCTTCAGCTACATTTTTTAGCTGTGTGAAGAACTTTATCAGCGAAGATGGCCAGAAATGTTACCAACAAGACAGATCCCCACTCCATGAACTCCCGTGTATTTATTGGAAACTTGAACACTCTTGTGGTGAAGAAATCTGATGTAGAGGCAATCTTCTCGAAGTATGGCAAAATCGTGGGCTGCTCTGTTCATAAAGGCTTTGCCTTTGTTCAGTATGTTAATGAGAGAAATGCCCGGGCTGCTGTAGCAGGAGAGGATGGCAGAATGATTGCTGGCCAGGTTTTAGATATTAATCTGGCTGCAGAGCCAAAAGTGAACCGAGGAAAAGCAGGTGTGAAACGATCTGCGGCGGAGATGTACGGCTCCTCTTTTGATTTGGACTATGACTTTCAACGTGATTATTATGACAGGGTGTACAGCTACCCAGCACTGTTCCTCCTCCTCCTCCTATTGCTCGGGCTGTTGCGCCCTCAAAACGCCAGCGTGTATCAGGAAACACTTCACGAAGGGGCAAGAGTGGCTTCAATTATAAGAGTGGACAGCGAGGATCTTCATCAAAATCATCGAAGTTGAAAGGAGATGACCTTCAAACCATTAAGAAGGAATTGACCCAGATAAAACAAAAAGTAGATTCTCTGCTGGAAAGCCTGGAAAAAATTGAAACAGAACAGAGTAAACAAGGAGTAGAGATGAAGAATGATAAGTCAATGCTGTATTAAAAAACAAGGAACTCATGCAATATTACTCGAAATGGTTGACTCTGGAGAACATTATGCTGAGTGAAA